AAAAAAACATGAAAAACTCTTACAGTGAGAAGTATATATTTGAAACGGTCAAGAAAGATTGTTGTTGATCATTGCTATTTTAATAAAAATACATAAATCACTTAGAATACTTGAACTTAAATTCATCAGTGATGTTTTCCCTAGAGTTGTCTACATCATTGCTATTCAAGAATTCTCTTGGCGTGCTGGGATTGTGGCTCAGTGGTAGAGTGCTCACCTCACATTCATGAGGCACTGGGTTTGATCCTCAGCACCACATAAAAATAAAATAAAGATATTGTGTCCCCACAACTAAAAAATATATACTAAAAAAAATAGAAGAATTATCTTGGCCCACTGGCCCTAGTATCAGTAGATTGGGATTATTGCTATATAGTCAGAAAACCAGTTCCATCCCAGAACTACTGAACCTGAGTCTGAATCTCTGATTCATGGTTGTGCATTAAAAATTTGAGAATCACTCTTTTTACAAGTGGAGTATGTATACTTTTTTTGACTTATGATACTCTTTCCTCAGAGTTAGAGAATATCACTGTGTTTGTTACCAGGTATTTTCTTGAATAATTAAAGTCACTTACCAACTTGAGAACCAGTTCTACTAACTCTCATTTTATTTTCAGTCAACTTACAAGCTGTGTGAATGATCAAATGGTCAATGTGCTGTTAATTTATCTATTCTTATTTTAGGAACTGTTGACATTCAGGGATGTGGCCATTGATTTCTCTGAAGAGGAATGGGAATGCCTGGAACCTGCTCAGAGGAATTTATACAGAGATGTGATGCTAGAGACCTACAGAAACCTGGTCTTCCTGGGTGAGCAGAGCTTCCCTTCAGAATTCCTAATTATATAGTTTTCTTCCTTTGCAGAATATCTTTTGGGAGCTTCTGCTCTTAATGAATAAGTTTCAGATTCTGTCATTCAAGAAAAAGGCTCAGGCTGTTTTTGTTACAGAGAAGAAAATATTAATGCCATTGTTTTTAGTCCTTATTCTTGCCTTTTCTTGAGGTGATATATACCCTTCAGGTTTACAGTAATTCAGTGATATGGAATGATGTAAGCTACACATCAAATTCCAATTTCTCCCCTTTATGGTACCAAAATAGAATATCTGTTTTCACAAGGAGATTCCCAACAAATAGACATTACATTTTCCAATGAACACATCTCATTGTATCTAAGCCATGTTTGGGCACCTTCCTATGGAGCAGAGGTGGGTAAAAATTCATGAAGCAGAGGACACAGTTGAGAGGTCCAAAGGTCATGGAGGTAGCCAAACTTCCAAATGTTGGGGGAGAAGTCATGCCACATAAATGGTTTTCCAGAAGCTTAGGTTTGTTTTTCTTGCTATCCTACAAGGACAGGTACTGCCCTATGTTTAGCATGCTTTCGGCTTCTTCAGTCTCTTCCTCCTGTGGGGATGCCCCAATATATTGAAATAAGCAGCCCAAACACTCCCCTTTGCTTGTGAGGGTCATCGTGATCTGACAGCATTTTCATTATTTGGGGCATCTCTCAGAAATCTGGATACCTCTAGGTGAGGCATTGTAATTTATTAGTTTCATAAAGCAGTTTCTCTAATATCACATATATATTTATTCATTGAAATTTTCTTATCAGATTTTATTATGAATACTTACAATGAATTTTTTGTGGAATTTTTCTGATATAAAATGAATGTCAGTGATTCACAGTGGCTGCTCATTTTGGGTATATGGTCAAGGTGAATTTTGTAGTTATATAAAGGTTTGTAAAATAATACAACCATGGTTATTCAGAATTTTGTTGGCTAAATTTTCCTTTTCTTTTTTATTTTCTGTGTTTCATTTTCCAGGGTAAGTTTCACATTGTAGTATAGCTTTTTTCCTCACATCAGTTAATGATGTTTTTATTTTTTTAACCTACATTTTATGATTCAATGGCAATTTATAATATTTCACAAATTAGGGCAATGTAAGATGAAGTTAAGATAAGCCTGATCCTTGCTTCCATTGCTAATAAATTATATTTGCCTCTATATTTTTATTTTTTGCTTTTATTGCCAATAAAATCATATTTGAGATAAAATGTACCTCATAAATTTTTCTTTTAAAGCATGTTTGGCATATGAAAATTATTGCCACTCCAGTTTCTGGTCATTCTTACATATTTTTGTCTTCACCTTGCATCCTTAGATTTTTAATCTCCTGTAGACTGCATATATTGTTTTTTATTTTTATAAGTTTCCTTTGCTTCTTTTCTGTTTCTTCCTTTTCTTCTGACTTTAACTTGTGGTTCACTCATTTTTATGGTGACATTCTTTTGATTCCTCTTTCAATTTCCTTCATTCTATGAACATTTTAAAATTTATTTTGGCATTTTATAAAATCATTTTAAGCTTACATTACATTTTAAACTGGCAACAAGGTCGTTACTGTTGTGCACTTGGGGTAGTTGGAGGTGGGGCCCTTGGCTGTGAGGCACAGAATCCTGGTTCCCAGGCCGCCACACCCACCGTCTCCTTGCCATCTGCCTGACCAGCCCAGTGGTGGTTTGCATGAAGTGCTTGGGCAAGTGCTTAGAGATTGCCTGCTACAAGAACAAGCTTGCATGTGTGTTCACATGGTACTTTCTCACCTGCCCTCCTCAGGGAAACAGACCTAGATGATGTCCTGCAAACCTACCCTGTGTTTGTAATTGTTTGTGAAGGTCAGGTTGCAAAGGAGGAGGATCTCATCAGTCCACTTGGAACAGATGCCCAACCTGAAATCTGTAAACAGATTTTGACTAAAGGAGAGGTTTAGATATCAGATAAAGAAGGCACCATACAGCTGCAGCAGATGTTCAGGGATATTTCAACCATTGTGGCGGTCAGGTGTGTCAACCCAGAAACAAAAGACCATACACCGTTGTCCTTGTTGGGAGAGCCATGAAGGACATCCACTATTCAGTCAAACCCAACAAGAGTACAACACATCAGGCTTTGGAAGGGATAAGGCAGCTGAAGGAGAAAACGAAGATGGAAGGTGGTCACATGAGGCCTGGGTTCTTTCCTCCAGTGAATGAAGGGAAGAAGCTGAAGGAGAGTGCAGGCCCTTGGTCAAGGTTATAGAAAGTGAAAACTACAGCCAGCAGCTAGAAATTGTGTGTAGGGCTGACCAAGGCTGCTTCCGAGAAATTGCTAATAAAAAAGGAAACAAAAGGCAAAGGTGCTTTGGAAGTACTCAGTTTGAGAGAGGAGAAATTTGAATGACACTTATCAGTCTCTTTGGTTATTAAAAAACAAACAAACACAAAACCACTAAAGCAAATGTTTTTCTTTCTGATGACACTGTTTAATTTCAGTGATTTGCCAAAAATAAAAAATAAATAAATAAATAAAAAGGCATAATTTGACATTTTCTGACTTATACATAGAAAGACTTCCTACATGAGTATAATGTGGGAATGATTTTGTTTTAATTTTAAATTGGTGTTCTAAACAAAAACAAAAACTCAAAAGAATGAAGTCCAAAGGGTCATTTTGCTGCTGTCTTATACCTTTATAACTTTCCAAAATGAAAGCTACTTGAGACAACTCTTCTGGCCAAAAAGTTAAGTTTTGTACATTGTATAGGTAAGATTATTTGGGGAATGTCATTATGACAAAAAGGAGTGTTTACTGGAGAAGAAAACCTGTCTTGTTTCTCTATGATTCAGTGTGTGGGGAACTATATTGTCAGTCAAGCTGGGATGATTTCTTCCTTTCTTTTTTTTTTTTATTGTTGGTCGTTCAAAACATTACATAGTTCTTAATATATCATATTTCACAGTTTGATTCAAGTGGGTGGGATGATTTATTTCTAATTCTTAAAGTTACAATATATATCAGTATAGCTAAAATTATATGTAATCAATAAAACTACTATTTATATTAAAAACAAAAAAGCAAACTGACAATAATTTTTCTTCAATTTCATAACAAAAGTCAGTATATTTATCCTTTGAACATTATGTTATTAATGGCAGTTTTATTTATACTGCATACCCATTAAAAGGTTTATGATAACTTTTATGTTTTTCTCTTTCAAATTCTGTTGAAAAAAGTGAGTGCTTTATGCCCAATCATTCCAGTAAAATTGAATTCTATATTGCTATATAGGTTTTCCTTGCTAGGAGAACTTTAAAATTTCATAAAACTTCTATTGCTGTGCACATATATTTCATTTTTCAATATGAGGGGTGCACTTTACTATATTTTGAAGGACAGGTCAGTAGCTATGAAGTTTGGGTAAATTTATATATTTTTAAAGTCTTTGTTTTCTTATTTTTTGAAGGTTAGTATTTTGGGTTGCAGTGTTCTTAGTTGGTAATTCTGGTTTTGATGTTTTGGACACTATTACCCAGTTCCTTTTTGAGTTGAAAGGCTTCAACTAAGAAATTGACTTATAATCATATTCAAGTGCCTTTCTCAGTGGCACATCTTTTTCTTTTGGTGCTCTCAAGATTCTCTCTTTGTGAATATTGAAAAATTGAGTAAAATGTGCTTTGAGTCTTTTTTTTTTTTTGTGTGTGTGTGTGTGTTTTTCCTACTTGGGAGATAATGAGCTTCTTGAATTTTGTTATCCTATTTATTGCTCATTTCACCACATCTCTGACTTTTTATTACCACTGGAGACTTTTCTTTCCCCTGCCCTTTTTCTTAGGCCTTTTCGCTTTTTGTTTTTCATATCTCCCTTAGTCGCTGGGGCTGGCCTGAAACTCGGGATCCTCCTGGCTCAGACTCCCAAGTGGCTAGGATTATAGCTATGCACAACCACCCCTGACTGAACACTATTACTTAATACTTTCTGCAAGTACATAACTTTTACTTATTTCTACTAATGATTTTGGTCCGTGTTTTATTCAACATTCTGTGTTCTGGTATAATTCACTAAATTTATTTCAAATGGTTATTTAGCTTCTTTGGGTAATTCACAACTCTTACTTTCCTGATGTTCAATGCCCAGTGTTTTATTTGATTCTTGGATTAAGTCAAGTACCCCCTTTTCTTTGTGTACTTATTATATTTTATTCGTCCATTTAAAAAAGAGTCTCTAGTAGATTAATTTTCATTTTGTAAAACAATAAGAAATTAGTAAAGAATTGAGAAATAGGGAAGCACGGTTCTGCATTCTGGTAACTTCAGGTAATTGGGACAGTGTTCAAGAGAATTTTATGTTTGAGGTGTGTCACACCATGTCTCAAACCATTTTAAAAGGGCTTATTTTATAAGTCAGTGGTATAACAACTTTGGGCTTAATCTTAAGCATCACACATAAAAAATTAAAAGTAGAATGACCCTGTGATCCAGAAATGCACATTTTAAAGAAGTATCCCAGGGATATTAAATAAGCACATGGAAGAGATATCTCCACTACCATTTCATTGGAAGCATTGTTTACAGTAGTCAAGACAAGGACTCAAAGTTTTTGCCTATCAGTGATTGAGTGAGTAAACGATATGATATTTCTAATCAACAAATTAACATTAGAAAAGATATCCTGACACTTAAAGTGACATGAGATGAATATGTAGAACTGGGCATTATGTGAAATAGACACAGTAATTTGCAGCCTCATTTGACTCAATGTGAAACTTAAAAGTGCAGAGAGTAAAATGTTTACCTGCTGTTGTGCTTTGGGGAGTGTTGTTCAGTCTGCAAAATATTATTGTAATGGACATAAAGTTAAGAGATCCATTGTTCTCATGGTAAGTGTAATGTATTATATCTTTGTTTTTGCAGGGAGGTACCCAGTATTGAAACTAGAAGCACTGAAAAACTGAAAAACATCCCCAGTTCTTTTTTTTTATTTTTTATTTTGAGACAGGGTCTTGCTAAGTTACTTATGGTCTCCCACTAAGTTGCTGAGATGGTTTTGAATTTGGAATCCTCCTGCCTCAGCCTTCCAACGTGTGGGGATTCCAGGCTTGTCTCACTGCACTGGCTAATGTATTATATTCTTGGTGAATGCTAATAGAAATGAATGCAATGTTTTCTTAGCACTGATAATATAATGTGATAATTATATAAAATAATGCATTTATTAATTAGTTAGACTTAGTCATTCCTTCACTTATTTAAATTTTAAAATACCATGATATACTTAGTAAATACATAAAATTGATTTTGTCAATTAAATGATTCAATAAATAACCAAAATTATAAAAATGAAAGACAAATCATTTGTATTGACTGCCATGTTTTTACTTTGTTCTGGTAATACTGACATAGGCTGTGTGGGTGGGTGCATGCATGGATGTGTATATTTTTTCCATTAAAAAGATTTATCCATATTTCTCCATATGGACCCTATGCTCTTTAGCCCTATTGAATATCTGTGTTACTGTCATCTAAATTCCATCTCTTATATCTGGGTCTCTGTCGTGGTAGACAGAAAATGATTTTCAGACAGTCTCCAAAAAACCTAGAAATGTTCATGTTTCACATTTCCCTTTTTTTAATTGAGAAATGAAGGGAGTTGGTGGATTTTCCCCAATTGTACGATAATGTATTCTGGAGTAGGAAGGCCTGTAGTGGATAAAAGTAACATGCATTCCTTTTCTATGGTATATATATGGTCCTTAATTATATGCTCATCTTGAATACCGTAAATTCTCAGATGTTTTTGTTAATTCTCACAAAGTAATTTTGTCTGTCTGTTATTCTTTCACTCACATATATTTGGAGTAAGGATGGCTTTCAGTGTACTCCTCTGCCACCCTGCTGATGTCCCAACTGCTTTGACTTCATGTTATATTTACAAAGTTATTCCCAATCCAATATGTAAAATAATTGTCATATTTATTTATTTCAGCCATGACCTCTCATCATACCCAGAAAATTTCACCAGAGCCTGGCATAGAACATTTATTTAAAAAAGTGATACAGAGAAGATGTGGAAATTGTGACCTTGACTTTTTACAACAAAAGAAAGTATGGGACATTGCAGGTGAGAATGAAGGTCAGAAATCATACTATAAAGAACAAGACCAATTAGTAGTGACTGTCCATAATGAAAATTCTACTGTCAACAGAACTCAAGAACATTTAATAGCTCAAGAAAGTATTCAATTTATAACTAAAGGCCAAGTTTCTAAAAGTGATCACTTAGAAAATTTCATTGGAAACCATTCATTACTCTGCAATGAACAAAGAATGTCTTCTTGTGCCCAAACATACATCTATAAGGATTGTGGAGAGGCCCCTGTTTACTCATTATTGCTTAATCTAAATTCAGATATAAATTTCAGGAAAGTGTGCAACACAGATAATGAAACAAGCAACACCTTTAGTCAGGTCTCTACTGTAAGCAATTACCAGTGTGCTTCTGTTAAAGAAAACAATTGTGAATGTAGCAAAACACAGAAGAACTCTGGCTCTGGTTGCAATATGAGAGAACATCAGCTTGGTCATTGTGCACAGAACCCTTACAGAGATGATGAATGTGGGAATGTCTTTCCTCAGTGCTCAAAGCTGATGACCCATCCAAGTACTCAGGGCCAAGAGGCGCCTTGCAAATGTGAGGAATGTGAGAGAGCTTCTAACCTAGCAGCCAGCCTTCCTCAATACAGTGGAGCTCCTCCTGGAAGGGAGCCCCCCAAATTTAAGGAGTGTGTCCAAGCAAGGAGTTGCTCACCCCTTTCTAAACACCACAGGTACCATAGCAGTGATCAACACTACAAATTTAAAGAATGTGGCACAACTTTTAGTCAAGAACCATCCCCTGGTAAGCACCATAGAATTCATAGTGGAGAGAAACCCTACAAATGTGAAGAATGTGGCAAATCCTTTAAAAATTGTTCAAACTTTTCTAAACACCTCAGATGCCATAGCAATGAGGAAACCTATAAATGTAAAGAATGTGGAAAAGTTTTTAAGAAGTTTTCAACTCTTACTCAACACAAAAGGATTCATACAGGAGAGAAGCCCCACAAGTGTGAAGAATGTGGCAAAGTTCTTACTCGAAGAGCATACCTTACACAACACCAGAGAATTCACACAGGAGAGAAGCCCTACAAGTGTGAAACATGTGGCAAAGCTTTTAATCAAAGATCACACCTTACTCAACACCAGAGACTTCATACTGGAAAGCATCCCTACAAATGTGAAGAATGTGGGAAAGGTTTTAATCAAACCTCAGACCTTACTAAACACCAGAGAATTCATACAGGAGAGAAGCCCTACAAATGTGAAGAATGTGGGAAATGTTTTACTCGAAGAGGTTACCTTCCTCAGCACCAGAGATTTCATAGTAAAGAGAAGCCCTACAAATGTGAAAAATGTGGCAAAGGTTTTAGTCAAAGAGCTTGCCTTACTCAACACCAGAGAATTCATACAGGAGAGAAGCCCTACAAATGTGAAGAATGTGGGAAAGGTTTTAATCAAAGCTCAAACCTTACAAAACACCAGAGAATTCATACAGGAGAGAAACCCTACAAATGTGAAGAATGTGGCAAAGGTTTTACTCGAAGAGCATGCCTTACTCAACACCAGAGAATTCATACCGGAAAGCATCCCTACAAATGTGAAGAATGTGGGAAAGGTTTTAATCTAACCTCAGACCTTACCCAACACCAGAGAATTCATACAGGGGAGAAGCCCTACAAATGTGAAGAATGTGGCAAATGTTTTACTCGAAGAGGTTACCTTCCTCAGCACCAGAGATTTCATACTAAAGAGAAGCCCTACAAATGTGAACAATGTGGGAAAGGCTTTAATCAAACCTCAGACCTTACTAAACACCAGAGAATTCATACAGGAGAGAAGCCCTACAAATGTGAAGAATGTGGGAAGTGTTTTACTCAAACACAAAATCTTACTGAACACCAGAGAATTCACACAGGGGAGAAGCCCTACAAATGTGAACAGTGTTGGAAAGGTTTTACTCGAAGAACCCATCTTACTCGACACCAGAGAATTCATAATGGAGAGAAGCCCTACAAATATAAGGAACCTAACAAAGCTTTTAAGGATCCTTTGTCCTTTACTAAACACCAGAGTGTTCGTGCAGGAGAGAATGGAAGTCCCAACCATAGCACCCCAGAGCACCTGCTGGCTTTCCTGCACATGCTACAAGTGCCCAGAGCCTTGGATTGCCACGCATTTCAGTAGCAACTAACCCCACACCAGCCACCTTCCCATGTGGGCAGTTTTGCAGGGCTGCTGACCCACAGGGAGGGAAGTTTGTTCTTTTTCCTTTCTTTCTTTCTTGGTGAGGACATTTGATTTTCTTTCTTTCTGTTCCATCTAAATTTCTTTCTGTCAGCATTGCTGCCTTCCTTTTTTCCATGTTTCCCTCCCTCCCATCACTTTCCCTCTTCTACTGTCTTGTCTTTATATTTTTTCTTCTCTTAAATGTAAGTCCTCTGTGGATGAATGTAAAAATCATTCATCTCCCTAGCCGTCCTCCTGCAAGATTCCATATGCCCCTGATGAGAGCATTCCTGTCACCTTCCTGCTCATTTATTATCTGCACTTAGTTTGTACACCAGGTTGAAAGTTTATCCCTATCTCCTGCTTCCCTCTTGAAGTAGGAAAAAAGGCTGACTTCAAGAGGCTGCTAAATATAATATTTCCTGTTTGTACTTTTGTGTGTGTGTGTGTGTGTGTGTGTGTATGGGGCCAGGCCCAATATTACAATCTCTGAATTAAATAGGGTAAAAGGTAGAATTGCCCATGGCACAAAGATTCTGTTTTATTTTCTAGCAGCTTCTTTGCTGCCTGAGGGACTTTCTGCAGCTATACCTTCCTTGTGTCCAGGAAAAGCTGAGCAACAGTGTAACCTGATACAACTCCCAGCTGAGCCTAGGAACCTTTCCTCAACACATGAGCTGAAACACATAAACTACAGTCAGCAGAAAGACAACAGCATTGCCTTATTTTCATGATTCCCAGTTTTACTAATAATGCTGATTAGTTGCCAAAGAAAATCATTCCTTAGGCCTTAAGCCCTGCAGAATAATTTCCTTTGGGACAAGGTACTGCCACTCCCTGACAGACCTCCAATAGGATACAGAGCCATCCCAAACCTGACATTGAACTTGGATAATTGGAATGTGGACTGTGTTTCCCTCTGAGTCAATAAAACACATGAAGAGGGCTGGGGATGGAGCTCAGGGACAGAGTGCCTGTGGGTTTAAGGCCTAGCATTATAAACAAGACCAGTCACCTTCCTTCATACTGGAAGGAAGAAAAGGAGAAGAGTGGAAAATACATTCTAGGACTTGACATACACCCCCAGACATAAAATAGTGTGAGACCTAAGCTGGCACTGAATTAAACATCATTAAAAGTGACTTTGACTCTGTGTGTCTTGATGGCTCACCTGTAGAAATAAATTCCCAACCAGGTCTAACTCCCAGGCCTTTACAAAGGGCACAGAGGAGATTTCTGTCCCCACTGAATTTGCAATGAGGCTTTTAGAAGAAGGAGCCCAGGAGGGAAGAGAAACACCTTCTGGAAGCATGGGCTTTGCACCCTTGGAACTGGAGTGGACAGCAGTGTTTGCTCTCCAGAGGAGATGGAATGACTGGCCTTTGTCACTCCCACCCTCCCTAAGATAATGATTGCAGAACACTCACAGCTGGTGAAGAAACCCATGGTGCCCTGGAGAATGGCGGTGTACTATGGAGAATTAGATAAAGTGTTGCCTTCTCTGCCTGTAGCACTTCTCACTGTGCAGGAATTGGACAGGCGTAGCCCAGACACCTCCCCAGCAATGTGGGGACATACTTCGGAAAAGGAGGACTTTGCACACTAGTTTCTTATCCCATGTGCTCCAGGAAAATGTAAGGCTGGTGCAGTATGCACCTGAGGAGGCAGCAGGAACTTCTGATGAATGTGAGCTGACAGAGCCATCATCCCTCAGGGAAGGAGCAGTCCCAGTGGGTGACAGTTCTTGGTACACTGACTGGTTCAGCAGAGGCCGTGGGACCAGTGGACTCCCATTGCTACACAGCCCTCCATGGACACCTTAGGATGTGTTGGAGGCATAGGGCAGAGCAGCCTGTGGGCTGTTCCATGCCTTATGTGCTAGAAATAGTGAGGTCCTGGGTGCCCCAGGAGACCAAAAAAGAAAAAAAAAAACACTCTAATCAAGTCTGTCACCAGGGCAAGAATTTTATTTCCATGCACATATTTTTATTTTTATATGTCCATTGCTTTTGAGGGTTTTTTTTTGTGGGGGTGGGGGCAGGAAAATGATGATTTAAAAGGTTAACAAGATTCGTTTGACTGGAACTGGACTGTTCCTGACTTAATTTCTGGGAGACCCAGAGGCAGGTCACCTCTCCCTGGAGGCCTCACTGCTGAGTGACCTCCAGGGAGCTGGAAGGTGTCTCCCTGGCCTGCTCATCAGCTCATTTGAGGATCAGATGCTCCTTGGGGACTACAATGGACACTAGGCTTGAGGGTCATCAAGTGACCTCACTGTGGTGCCCTGAGGCCGCATAGTCGCAGCATAGATCACTTCAACAGTCATTTTAATCAAGAGGGGGCATGGCCAAATTCAGGGTGGCCGAGCAGAAGAAATCCTCGGGGAAGCTGTAATTTATATGAGCAGAGAGATGAGGCGCTGTTCTTGCCAGGCTGGATTAGGGTGATATTTAATTTTGAAAAGTGACAGCATTGGGAAGGGGAGGGGCAATGGAGATGGCTGGCTGAATTCTGAATGAGGACCCCGCCTGTGCACTGGGGACCTGACCCGCCCGCTGGGCTCGGCAGGGGTCCACGGCGAGCTGCACCAGCCAGGGACCTGCTGTTCAATCAGGAGCTTGTCCCTCACCTCTCGGCGCCATCATGAAGCCACAGGGAACTGGACACGGACTTGGACTTGAACAGTAAGAGAAGAAGCCGACCAAGAGATCAGCGAACCGAGTTCTTGTCCTTTCCCAGCTACCGGGGCCACCGTGAGAGACCGGCCACGTGCAGGGCAGGCCTAGGAGCTGCGGGGCGACCTCGTGAGGCTTCCTGATGCAGAAAAGCCTGCTCTGGACCCGGGGCTTTGTGCAGAGACCCCAGAAAGACAGGAAAGCGGGGAAGCAGGGCAAGTGCCCTCCCAGACGCCCACCTGCCCCGTGGGAGCGGTGTCCCTGTACGGTCACAGAGACCAAGGGAGGATTTCACCAAGAAGGTGGCCCGCTGCAGAGTTGGGCGTGGGTGGGACAGTGGGCTCTAGAGGCTCCACCGAGGACCTGGCGCGGGCAGCCGGGTCAGGCCAGCCCTGCAGCCCAGCCCATGCTCTCGGAGCCAAACACAGGGCTGGGGAGCGGCTCAGAGGTGAGGCTCTGGGGTCAACCCACGCGGGAGCGGGAGGCAGGAAGATTGCCAGACCCTCTCCTGCCTCGGGGCGGCAGTGACTAAAGAATGAATAACAATAAGACCTGCTGTGAGGAGGGGGCAGAATGGGCGTTTGAAAACACAGAAATGCAGGTAAATTAAAAACTAAAACAGACTCTCGACTCTCGTGGCTGCCTCTGGGGAGTCGAGGAGGGGAGGAAACAGGAAAGAAGGGAAGCAGATCAGTGATTTTATTATGCACTTTTAGCCATCATCGGAATTTAAAAACTATATGCTTATATTACTTTGATTAAGAACAAATTTAAAATTTCTGAATAATGTGAATATCACTTTTAACATTTATATAAGATCATATCAAGAATACATGATTAAGACCACCCTGGTTTCTTGGCTAGTCCCTTGTGATATTTGTTTCATTTAACCATCTCATATCTTCATAAGCTCCTAAAATTCAGAGACTGTTCTACCTTGAATGTGGTTTATTACTATCATTATAACATGAAATATAATGTTAATACAATTTTAAAAATCACACTTGGAGAAGAACACACAGTAAAAGTGCTTGTTGCTCTCAGAGCGCCCAGCAGAAGGGGACAGTGTGCACAGATGCCCACACAAAGTCACTTGAAAGAGCCTGGCCAAGGCAGGGGGAAGGGCGAACAAGGGCCAGTGGGCCTTCAGAGGGTTATGGGTGGGAAACTTGTGGCACCAGGGATGCATTCTCACTGGGTAATGTTTTTTACATTTTTCTTTTTTTTCTTTTTTTTGGTACTATGGATTGAACCCAGGGGCACATTACTACTGAGTCACATTCCCAGTCCTTCTTATTTTTTGCTTTTAGACAGAGTTTCACTGAGTTTCTTAGGTCCCTGATATGTTGCTGAGGCTAGCCTTGAACTTGTAATCCTCTTGCCTCAGCCTCCCCCAGCCATTTAGCATTACAGCTGTGCATCATATCTGGCCTCTGACATGTAAGTTGAATGTACTGGGTTAATAGATGTCTGGGTTCTTTTGTGTAGCTATATGAAAATACTTGAGATTATGCAATTTATAAAAACAGAAGTTAGTTTTCTCACAGTTCTGGAGGTTGGAGTGTCCAAGTTCAAGGTGTTGGCAGAGCCAGTATCTGTTGAGCATTGGTCTCTCCCTCTGAGAGAGTGCCTGTTGCTGGTTCTTCATGGGGATGTGAACACTGTCCTCTCACAGCAGAGGGGTGGCAGGGCACAGGGAAGGGGCCTACACTGCTTTCTTAATTCCCTAATGGATTAGGGTGCTGATCCATTCATGAGGCTCCACTTCCCAGAAGTCCCACTTTTAATACCACCCTGGGGCACTAAATTTCAAAACATGAATTTTAGATGAAGTTCACACCACAGATTGGGGGAAAAGGTTAAACCACCCCCATAATAATCACAAACACTCAGAAACAGACAATGGCCAAATGGAAGTCCGTTATAGGCCAGCCTCAGGCTCTCAGTAGTCATGGAATCAATAAAGAGCAAGGAAGTCAGGTTCCCATCAGCTGAAGAGTGGGCAGGTGAGATGTGGCAGGTCCTTGCAATGGAGTAGTACTGGGCAAGGACATCATGAACTGCTCCATGCTGCTACTGGAGGAACGGCATAGACATTATGCAAAGGGAAAGAAGTCAGTCATGAAAGACTGTTGGTGTTGAGATGCCATTTACAGGAAGAGTTCCCAGCAGGCAGATCTGTAGAGATGGAGCAGGGGGGTGGCTGCCAGGGCCTACGGGCAGGAGGGTGAATGGGGAGTGACAGGTAAGGGGAAGGGGTGCCTGTGGTTCCTGCTGCTGTTTGTAGTAGGAGAAAAAGTTGAATTGAAGGAAAGACTGGTTTCTTTACAGGAGCCAAGGGGCACACCTGTAATCCCAGAGACTCGGGAGGCTGGAGCAGGAGGATCACAGTTCAAAGACAGGCTCAGGAACTTAATGAGACCTAGCCTCAAAAAAATTTATTTTTTAAAAAAGCATGAGGATGTAGTTATTAAGTGCCTCTGGGTTAATCCCTGGTACCACAAGAGGGTGTGGTGGAAGCAGATAGTCATGATCTAGAGAAATCTGTCTCCCTAGGAGGTACACTGCTGAAGTCAGGAAGTGACTTCTGGGCACCATCAAAAGCATCTGGTCTGTTAAGACCTCAGCCAGGAGTGGGTGCAGAGAATGTGCTCAGTGTGTGAGAGCTTCTGCATTTGACCCCAGAACCTACCAAACCTCAGAAGGTTACCAGATGCAGGTAGTTCCTCACTTCTGTTTTCCAGGCTTACAGTGGTACAAACTGTCCCCACACAACCACCTAAAAGCAAGCGCTTTTAGGTCATTGTTTAGCACTCTGCATAACATAGTCAGCACTTTGCGGGCTGGGGAGAGGCTCAGTGGTAGAGTTCACTTAGCATGTGCCAGGCCCTGGGTTCCACCCTGGCACAGCAATGGAAGACGAGTAATACCGCAGGGCGAGGTTGGCTGTGTTGCTGACTGCTCCACTGCAGGTGCCGTGTGTGTTCCCAGTGTGCTCAGGTCAGGCTTGGAAAGGCTGTGGCAGTCAGTAGGTTAGAAGTGTGTTATGCATTGAACTGCTGAACAATTTTGCACCTTACGTAGGAAATCCCCAGTGCAAGTACAGTTGGGGCTAGGAGGCCACCAAAGACCAGAATCTGCATCAGTGCTCTCCACACATAGTCTGGGGATTGAACCTAGGCATGCTCTACCACTGAGCTACAGCCCCAGCTCTTTAGATTTTGAGCAAGGGCCCATCTGTCCTTAGCCCCAAAGCTTTATTCTCTCCCAGGAACTTGCATTCAGTGGGAACCCTGAGGGTGGAGGCTGATTTGGGCTTCCTGAAAATCTGATTTTGGGGGGGCCCAGCTCTGTGGAGCCCAGGGCTCTCACCCAGGGAAATATGTGTTTTCCCAGACAGTTTCTCCCTGGACAGGGGCTGGAGCCTAGCAGATGTGAAGCTGCCAGGTGCCATCATGATTATATCTCTGCTCATTGACAGCCAGCTGGCACTCACGGGGCTCAGAGTCAAGCTGGACCAACCTCAGGCCAAGGACTGGGTCTGCTCTGGGATTTGTTCCCAGGCCCGTTGCCTCCCAGGCCTGGACCTGTGTCATGACAGCCTCATAACAACATGGAGTTGCTTTACATTGCTGATCCCAGTCTCATAGAACAAGAGGGAAACAAGCTCTGCCTTACACACCTCTCCCTGCTCACCCCCAGTACCACTCAACCGTGTCTAGTACCACAAACGCAAGTGGAGGCTTCTCAGGGTCTGCTGCCTGTCTTAGGAGTGAGTCAGCTTGTTATCTTCAGGACAGAAGTGACCCAAGGTCAGGGTGGCAGGGAAATGCAGACTGAAGTGCCACAGTGCAAGTGTCCCTCATGGAGGAAGGCTTCTTGTCTTGGAAACTGTGGTGGCAATCTTGGAGACAGCGTTCCAATATAGCCTAAGACCACAAGCTTCATTTCCAACCCTACAAAGAAATTTGCGTGAGTTCCTCTTCAGTGATTCTTAGGTTTTGGTGGCTTCTTTAGGAGTCCGACCCAGAAGTTCCCTGGGGACCACTGTCCTCATTTCTGCAGGATGCTTCTGAGAGTTTGACTGCTCAGAAGTCCCCAGTGCAAGTACAGCTGCAGCAAGGAGGCAACCAAAGCACTAGAACAAGCCTCTTATTTTCTGGAATGGCCTTCACTTTAAGTTACTGTGTTACCAGATAACAGCTTTAGTCAGACCACCCACCATAGAACCTGGATCCAGCAGTGGTGGGACCTGGGGACATGGATTTATCTCTGCGTCTACTGTTAAGTGTGCCCATGACAGCAGTGTGGTGGCCCTAGGGGCTCTAGGGGAACATATGGCACCAGCCACTGGCCAGTGGTGCTCCACAGAGTGGGCTGTGAGGGACTGTCCCACCCCATGATTCAGACAGGTTGTCACATACTCAGGACACAAAAGCAGTGAGCAGTAAGCATGGTGTCCTCATTCTGCAGGGTGACAAAAGCTGGGGTCCAGACAACAGATGGCACAGGAGCCATTCACTCTGCTGTCAGGAGCTGACTCCCAACTGCAGCTAAGCAGCAGCTTGGACCTCTCTGGGGCTGCAGGTGAGGCTGCACAGGGCTGCTGTCCACAGAAGCAAAGGAGGCGGAGGAGTGCTGGTCTGGCAACAGAAGCCTGGGGGCACCTGAGAGGCCTCCTGGCATGAGGATGTGCCTGCTGTCCATCAGGAAATTTTGTGTCCCTCCAGGACCAGGCAAGCTGGCCAAACTCCACCTCTGTTGTCACTATGTAGAGAAGCCAGGTTGCTGGTCGTTGAGGTCAAGCAGGTCCATAAAGTTTGTCTCTTCATCTGCTGCCCTGTTGGAGGACACCCCAATGTGCAGAGGCAGGGCTGCCAGCACAGGCCACAGCAGGATCCTGGGGCAGGCAGGGTGAGATGGAAGGTAGGACCAGTCCCACAAGAGCTGTGGAAGCAGCCAAGAGGATTAGTTGATGAAAGGATGTGAAGTTGGTTAAAGAGGAAGGGTGGAGAAAGGCCCCCAAGTCCTAGGCTGAGCTAATGGAAGGAAGGAGAACTGTGGTACCATCTATCTTCTGTCTGTTAGTCACCTGTTAGTTATTTATCAATCCATCATCTATCACTCTCCACTCTTCTAATAATCTATTTGCTATCAATGTATCATCTAAAATATCCTTCATCTATCATCAATTATCATTTATGAATCTATTTATCATGTTTCATCTATCAGTATCTTATGTGCTGCATCCAATTCCACTAACTGAGCTGGGGACATCTTTACTTTTCTCACTGTGAAACCCAAAGTGCCTAGAACTGAGCAGGCACTTAGTAGATGCTGAAGGGATTGTGTAGAAGGTGGCACCTGCCCAGGAAGTCCTCCATCAGTGTTCATTCTTTGATACCCATGGTCACTGCTCTGGGGTGGGAGCTTCCTCTCCAGGCTCCAGCTCTTAGGAGTGCAGATCTCTGAGCTTTGTTGAGTTTTGCAGGGGTGCTGACCTTCATCGAGAGGTCTGCAGGACGGTTTGTACATATTTGATGAGGTGGGCTGACAGCCTCAATGTGCTGCCCTTGCAGGATACTATGAGGCTATCTCCTTTGCCACTGTGCAGATTCTGTCCTTCTCAC